GGGGGGTTCGGAAGAACCCCCCACAAGCCTCAAAGGTCCACTTTTTGGTCCACTTTTTATGTAAAGGTCCACTTTTTGGTCCACTTTTTATGTAAAGGTCCAAGATTTTACTTCAAAAGATGGACTGGAATCGTAGAAAAACTGCTCCCTTTGTCATTGAATAAAAATTTATCTCTGATTTTTTCTTGGAAATCCTCTCAATAATGCACGAAATGCCATTTTAGAAGGTTCATTTTTCAAAATTTTCCGGGGGAACATGCCCCTGGACCCCCTAGGAACCTTGCGCCTTCGGCGCTCGAGGTCCCCTCAAGCAGTGGGAAGAACCCCCCCATTCAAAATCCTGGCTACGGGCATGTATAACATTACTTCTGGCTATGTTGTGAATTTCTTACCTTTCTAACTCTCCAAAAATTGGCAGAATGAGCTTACCGTGAACAAGTCTTAGTGCTGAGGCGAGATTCTGTTCTGCAGACTCCAAATCGCCGTCCCTTAGGGCACTGGCTCCGGCTTCATATTGGTCTCCGTAGGTGCTGGAGCATTACACAGTGTTTCAGTATGGTTTAGTTTAAGCATCGTATTTTACTATGCATGACCTTCGGGGGCGCAAAGGCAAAGTTAACGGTTTTACAAACGAATGGTTACCAAGAAGAGCATAGAAAACCATCTCTTGAATCAAATGCCAGAGAAACACTGTATGTCACTGCAGAGCATGAACCTATAATTAGGTCATGTTGATTTGAAAAAGGGTGCATTCATTGTGAAGTCCTTTGGAATTGATTTTGGCATTCTACGACATAAGTACCGTTTTCCAATATTTTTGGCAATTTACGCCATATACATGCTCATTTTGTATCTGCTTTGTACGATTTACGGTATGGTGGAACATTTTTTTTGGAAACGTACGAAAATTCATGCGCGCTCGGATGCCGTCCATATAATCAAATCAACATGGAAAGTAGCTTTTTACAATGATGTCATGGTGCACGAAAGACTGCAGGAGGTAAGGCACATACCTTTCTGCACTTTGTTCATTCGGCTCACTTTGGCCCGAATCTTCTTCATCTTCACTGTCAATGTTGTCGCTCGGATGTTTGTCCACGTACTGCACCTCAATTGTTTTGCGTTCGTATCTTTTATGTGTGCCCTATTGAAAAGCCCAGAAAAGAACGAGAAACAGTTATGCCTTAAGATATCAAAGTTATTTCCAAGAACTATCGTAGAGTGGAACTCGTTGCCACCAAGCACAGTTGGGGCATCATCACTAGAATGCTTTAAACAATTCCTGCAAGATTAGTGTAACAGGTCTTCCGTTTCTAGCTGCCGCGAAGCTGGTGTGTTAAGCCGAAGGGCGATTATACCGGCTATACAGATACAGATACAGATACAGATACAGATAGAGACGAGATGAAACAGTTTTTTTTTAATATTTATGCACAACGGCTGCAACATACCAAAAACAGGAGAGAGCACCAACCTACAACGTATTTGCATTACATGTTTTACAGGTATATTGTACAATTCATTTTGGTGCCTCCCTCATTGAAGAACGTAACTAAATATGAACGGCACCACTAAACAATAAATCAAGACATAGCAGAAACGGGAACATCTACTGTACAGAAACGGGAACATCTACTGTACAGAAATACCAAAACATAGAAACCACCTGAGGTATGCCGTCACCTACATAGAGAAATCATTTTTTATCTGTAAGGAAAGTCGTGAAAAGTGCACTCCCAAGGGCACAAGATCGGTGGCATGGCAGGGTTCGAACCCGGGACCAGCACACTGCCGCTACGCCAGAAGACCCCATTTTTTGTGCAATTCACCTTGACTTGTGTGCATTGACCCTTACGCGGACGACAATAGGTAGTAACAACAATATGTAGCGTTACGTCACTCGTAATGACTAATTTATAAGTCTAGCTGAAGTAAACACAAAGGAACAACCGCTAAGCACACGAAAAACTTACCTTAATTTCCTCAGTCCTGAGTCGAGCCGAATACCTGACCCTGTGTTGAAGAGCGACCTTGTTGTCCGCGTCCTGACATCGCGCGAGGCCGGCGGAATACAGGGTAGACGCCCGGGTGAAATCCGCCGTGTCCCTGCTCACCCCGCCCCGCCTCAGATATTCGTCACCCAGGCCCTTCAGCGCTTCTACCTCTGCTAACAAGTCCGACGCCGTAACACTTTCTACCAACAAGTGAACATAGCTAGCTTCTAAGGACTCTTCTGTTAGACCTGCTACCCTAGTTTGAACTCTCTCGGCAATTTTTAGATGTGAAAGTTGTTCTTGTTCCCTATTCACTTTGCTATCCAGCTTATTCCTGTCGCCATTTTGGTTGGGGGGTAATTTGACCGTACTGTTACACCTGTCGGTGAATGTTCTTGCGTACTTCACGCGATGTAGGAGTGTCTGTACTTGCCCGATGTGAGTACACCGGACCAGTGCGGCACTATACACGGACTGGGCCTTGCCGAACTCCGCCAAGTCACCGCTGGTTCTTCCCTTCTCCAAGAACACGTCGCCAAGACTCTTAAGGGCTTCGGCCTCGATCAAGGCGTCCATTTCCGCCATAGCGTTCTCAAGTTCTCGCACGTAATCCTTCTGAACACGACTGAGGTCTTCGAGATCGCGACCGGAACTCTGAAGTTTCGCGTCTATGTCGCGAAACTTTCCTGCCGCCCGCGAGATGTCTGAACTAGTCATTTTCGCTACGTTCCTCGCCAGCAAGCCTTGACAACAAGCTTAATATATGCCGTCCGTGGAAACCGGAAGTTCCCTTTCGGTGTTTGTTTGCGTCCAAGATACCTTTGACCTTTCGCCGTAGACATTACGTAGATGCGAATGCGCATGTCCAAAGTACGGCTGAACGAAGGAGACACTGACTAACCTTAGTCCAAAGCGAAGTCAAAGTTTATTGCACAATAATTGTAACAGAGACAATCTAATGATGACGACTGGTTTTATTATTATTATTTTTTTTTCAAAGCTTTATTCGACAAGACAAAACAAAATACATAGACAACAATTATTCTTCTTCACATAAACATACACAGTTTAAAGGTCTATATGGCTGCCTAAATGGCTGAATTGTCGACTTCTTACAATTTAAAAGCTTGAGGAATATTATAAATTCAGACTTACACTACATATACATATGATATACAATATCGACGGTACAATGAAATGTTCGGCCAGAAATATATCCGGTATGTTACTACTTGAGCTCCGCGAAATCGTTCAACAGCTTGATCATATAGTAGAGTATTGTAAAAATATTTTCTGAGACAATCTTTTAAAGCAAGATCTCTCTTAAACCTCTCCAAGCCCCGTCTGCTGACAACTATCCATAATTCAGCATACATGTTCACCTAGGTTGGACCCAACCTCATGCATGGATACAAAATAATATACATCATTTGAAAAATGCAGTCCAGCAAATATGTCTAGCACAATATGCCATCAGATAAAATTGAATGAGCAGTAAGTGATCAAATTATATTACTGATTAAAAGAAACTCTCTACTAAACACCTGTTTAAACATGTAACCGATTTTCATATACGTATTAAGAAGCAATCTTCGTTATATCAGTACTTATCAATAGTAAAGTCATTAGATTACTCATAATGGCTTCATCACTATGTGGTGTAGTCATATTGTCTTTCCCCATGTTTCTTCTCCTTCTTCTATGCCATTTCGTTAAATGGATTCAATTTCTTCATTTTTGGGCAAAATAACACGAAATTTGGCATGAAAGTAGAGTGGGTAAATACCTCCAAGCGTTTTTTTCTTCATTTTTTCGATACAGGCTTTTGAAATTGATTCGGGTTTTTTTGGCCATTTTCCGACGAAATCTGTACATTTTGGGTCCTGGAGACCTGGTATTACACTCAAATCATCTGAAACTTGGTATGGGTATACTTCATATATCTACCAACAACAATTCATTATAAGTTTTGGCATACTCTCCCTTAAATTTGTATAATTTGGGCCTTTTGAATGTTTTTATGCCACATAGTGAAGTATACTTACCTTACAGCAATGACTCATCTGTCTGGAATGCAGAGAGCAACGGCCAATAGGCATCAAGCTTTCGAAATGGTAAGGCAGTAGTAATCTTCTTGCTGATTGGGTGCTGGATTAATTGGATTAATACATTGGACGCCTGCTTAGGGCAGTCTATAGCATTGGAATGCGGGGCATAAATGCTTTTTTATCTTAAAAATCAACAGTTTGCATGCATTATGCAAATAAAAATCCTAACCAATAATGTAGGAGATAGCTGTCTAACTGTTGCATTCTTAGTTATATGTCACTTCATACTACAGTTATATCAATATAAAGAGCATTGTTTTTCCTTGTATTTCTCCTTCTTTCCCTGCCATGTCGTGAAATGTGGTGAAGCCATGCTGAATTTGCTCCAAAGCAAATGTCGGAATTTCTAGTTTCCTACAATCTTTACTTGTTAAAAGCATCTTCCTGCTGCCTATCCCAATAATCAATGCAAACTTCGTGTCAAAAGGCTTGTGTTGTTAATCCTGAGTTGGATCCATCCTTATGAAAGATACATCCAATTTCATTCTACACAGCACAGCGTGTCACTTCTTTGTGTTCATTTTTGTTACACAATAAAAAAAACAATCCATAATGCACCAACCTGCCTTTGAGAATGATCTAACATTATTGTCGTTCAAGTACCAGCGCGATACAATAATTTAGTCTTGTAATGTCTGTTATGAATGGTATTCACATAGTATTCACAACAAGCGTTGTGCTATCTCTACATGACCTAAAATGACGACATACAGTCATATATATGTCTTCACGAACATTAAAGATGTCTGTCTCAATATAGTTGATCCAAATGTTCCATCCCCCTGTTCACATGACCAGACATGGGTGACTTTGCTTCCTGGCTTGGTTTGTTGATGTTTCGTTTCTTTGTTGACCTGTTGGGAAAATAAAAAAAGCAATTCAACCAACAACTAATTTTATTACATGATTTTTTTTGCAAAGCAGATGCAGTAAAAGTATAGGCATTTCTGCCCAACTCCACTCAAAATATGCTTTATAATTTTCAGCAAAACACATGTTTGTCTTTCAAAAGGCCACAGCAAGTACTTTATGCGGGTGACATTAGCGTGCGCATTGATTTTCGCCTGATTTGAGGGGAAAACAAGACATTTTGTTGCCTCTGACAGTAGTCAACATGCCGAAAATGGACCAAAATGTGGATGGCAAATAAATATGAAGAGAGGAGATAAGGCTCTGATTTATCTTTTACTTTGTTGCAGTGCTGTATTTCGTTCCTTTTATATGTGATGTCCCCACTGAATCAAAACCATTTGTACAATGATCGAAAACTTTTATTTTTCGAAGTTGTTTCGATGACAAGTGGATGTTGTAATAGTTGGCAGGAGCACAATATGGATATCATTTATTAATTGTTTAACATGACTAATTTGAAAATGTAGGAGTCTTTTGGCCTGCCTTGTTTTTTTCGTCCTATCGCATTAAATTTGTAGAGGATGTCATCCCTAAAGGTTACTTGCTGTTGCCTAAAGGTGATTGTGATCATAGCGTGATTGCTTCACAGCTATTTTATAACTTTATAACTTTTATTCATAAAAATCAACGTAGCAGTAGTACATGGTACAACTGAATTGTGTTGACCTAACAAAAAGTAAACACAAGTCAACTTAGCAAAAGTACATTGGAGACATCACAACACTTACATTATACACAGAGGCACTAAGCCTTCATTTGGCTGTTGTATAGACGGATTGAGTAATGTAAGAATGAATTATACAGTCTGTTTGTTCTAGCCCTGGGTACCCTGATCCCCCCCCCCCCCGAGTTCCTGAGAGACTCGGACATTCCCGTTCCTGCTGGCCCCACGTCCGGTACCAAGTCATGCAGTGGATGCTCCGGGTTTAGCATGTTTTTGAGCAGTTTAACTGCCGCCAGTTCACGACGTTCCCTAAGAGTGGGAAGGACAGGGACACTCCTCCTCCCACCAAGAGAGATTATCCTTAGGGCCCTCCTCTGTACTTTCTCGATCGCCTGGTCCTGTTGTTTACTACAACCAACAAGTAGCACATGGCCATACTCAAGTACCGGCCTAACCAGGGCTAAGTAAACCTGTATGAGGTCTGAGACGCTCATCCCTTGTATGGAATAGAAAGAAGAGTTCATACCTTAGTATCAGCGCTGAGAGCACGACTGTTGAAATCACCAAGACCACCGCCGCGACCACGATGACCACAACACGGGTGTCGGGAAGGTTGTCGCCGGCATTGTCATTTTCTTCTCTCGGTACTTGTGGCTTGATTGTAGTTGCAACACCTATAGGTGGAAGTGAAAATTGAAAACCAACATGCCTACATTTGTAGACATATCCCCACTTACAACAAAACTAATGCACGGAACAAGAATTCGGGGATCTCCGACCTCCACGGAACCATGATATTTAAAAATCGGGACTTTTAGGAGGGGTTGAAAATATTTCTTGATAAAGGCCTCCAAGGCAACTAACTACTGATGCAATCTCCTTTTGCAACTTACATTTTAAAAAGCCCGCTTCCTTTGTTATTCAATCAGTCATATTCAGTTAGCAATACTTTAACCGTTATGCAGCAAGTTTAAACTGTAATTTCCAACACAAGAAATTGGACTCACCCAAACTTTCGACTGTACAACTCCAGTCTTTGTCAAGGAATGAGCAACCCACCGCTTCCGTGACGTCACGCAGATAATACACGTGACTCCGTGAGCAGTGGATCATAGGTTGCAGAAAGTCTGAAGTCTCACTGGACAAAGTAAGAATCCTGGACTCAGAACCGGATTTCTTTGCACGAGGGATTAAAGAGGCCATCTACATCAGGGCATTACAACCATCCCTCAACAGAGACGGGGGGGGGCGCCACAGACTTTCTGCAACCTATTGTGTTGGAAATTACAGTCTAAACTTGCTGCATAATGACTTCTACCAACACAGATGAACTTTCAAGATAATACTTTAATCGCTTTAAAGTGGACGCGAAAGAGTAGGCACACTCAATCCTGCTCAACTGTTCTGTCAATTCACAACCTCACCTTCAGTAGGTAACCGCGCAGTGTAAGGGTAGATTCCGTGAACGACCTTCCATCCCAGCGCCTCCTCTACCCTCAGCTGGTTGTGCTGCATCATCAACAGGAGCAGGTTACCCGGGACGACGGGGTAGGTTCCGGTAGGGTCCGGATGGCGGACGAAGAACGCCAGGGTTGTGCGGTTTGGCGAGAGGAAAGGTTTGGGGAAACCATCCAAGATGACAACATCGTCCGAGCGAAACGTCCATGATTCGGGTACCCTACAAATGCAACAGAAACAAAAGAGATATCAACAGCTTCACAGTTGTGTTCACTTATACCCCCAGATATTTTTGGCGACGTCTCAGGGAGGAGCCTAATGGTATATTGTGTGTAGTTTACAAGAATTCTAGGAATGGTGCAGGCATTTTGTCCACAGGAATGGAATGTCCACAGGCATGTCTCTGACCCACATCTATGCCCACATTCCTGGAACCTTGTGTCTCTTGAAGACCTCTGTGTCTCTGCCCCGGATGGCTATACTTTCTGTGACTCAGTGGAGTGCACTGTATCTGTCTAGACTTAACAGGTACCAAGTCTTCCTCAAAATAATGAAATGATGGCAGTGCCATGCAAACAATAACCCTAATAGCAACTACCGTCGCCATGGCAATGTATGTTTTCATTGCCAGTCTTGTTTGTTGTTGTTGTTTATTGTGCATGTAAAATTGGAATAGATACTTCCAAAAAATAGATGTTTTTGAGACACAGAACAAAAAAAATCATTTATAGTATAGCTACCAAGCCGACCGTAACAAGTAACTCCTAATATAGTTAATATTTATATCAAGTTGGCACTGATTCTCTTAGTAACACTGAAAATCTAAAAAAGTTTAAATTGCTAACATCTTGTTGACTTATAATGATATGTTGACATAACATAACAAAGGGTCAGAATGTTGACGTTATTTAAAAAAGATAATGTTATTATCCATGTTTCCTTTATTGTGATATTTCGTGTCACAGTCATCCAAGTGGATGAATACAGAGCTAGAGTAATGAAACAACGCAGTGACTGGATACATCCTCGGATAGGACGTTAAATGGAGGTCCCGTGCTTGGGAGAGCCACACCCCATGCACGCTAAAGAATCCTTAGCGAAAAGAGTAGGGGATCTTCCCGGTGTGAGTGGTTCAAAACCTTACAGTCCGGTTTTACGCAGCTTGTACATGTACGCACATTTATATCATACCCGGGCCGCGATAACGTTCGATAACGGGTTCCGGACCGGGCCGTACTTTACGGTACAGCCCGGTCCGGAACCCGTTATCGAACGCTTCCCTGGCTTCCATAAAACGATTCGAACGCGTTTCGCCCTACCCGCTTGTGCCCCTTTCGAAAATTCGAATACAGAATCCGGACGTTGGAACTGATGTTGTTGCATTTGAGGGTTTAGGGGCACCAACTTTTGGCTCATCTTGCATTGAAAGGCGCGTTTTCTTGGGTGGGTATGATATAAATAAAATACAACACGGTGTATTCCGCATCGCCCTCGGTCCCGGCCCTCCCGCGAGTCGGAGTCGCCCTCCGGCCTGCGGCCGTCGGGCGATCCGACGCGCGGTCGGGCCGATACCTCGGGCGATACGGAATACCCCGTGTTGTATTCTATATGTACAAAGCTGGTGTGTTACGCCTAAAGGCGGTTTACCGGTTATGCGAAACAAACAAAACAAAAACATGTAGAGTACAAATAGAAATCTACATACGCTCGTTTGGCGCGGTTCTCTGTTCGGCGACATGCTGCAAACTCCAGGACGTGTCTCTGGCAGTAGATCGTTAGACGGTCTGCAACTAGGACCGCGAAGGTTCTGTTCACCTCATCAGTAAACTGTAGAAACGTTAAAACAGAGACTTGGGTTCATTAACAAAGAAACGATGTCTAAAAGTACATCGACAATCAACATGATATCACCAGAAAGGTACAGGACAACAACTGCAATACATGTACGTGAATTCACGAAAGTGGTACCTTCGATACACATACAATATATCTACTTTTGGTCATTTTCAGTAGAACAAAAAAAAGATGCAACACAGATATTTCTAGCTGACGAGGTGCGCGTGCGGTAAAAGATTGCAACTTGCACTGCATATTGCTGGCACAAGCTCTGCTTGAATAAGCTGTAAGCTGGGACTGTTTTAGATTTTATCAAATATACATATACACTAGAAAGGTAACATTTGAAAAGCAAATGCACAATGTTTAGTGACTTTTTACCTTCTCATATAGTCTGCTCTCTTAATCCTTACACATATATATATATATGGCCAGACAGGAGTCTAAATCCCTTCTGCTATGAAATTGCAACAGGGAGAACTTTATTGACACAACAAAAAGTACAGCGACTTTCGTAAGGTCTAAAACATGTAGATATACAGACAAATAAACATGGGTACAACGAAAATATCCTACGTACAGAACAATAGATGGGTCAACTAATACTACTTATTCTAAGGTCTAAACATTCTTTGATATATTTACCTATTTGTGATGTAACTAACCCAAGACCAAGTTACCGTGGTGACAGACGTCTGGTTCAAGCCATTGACCTTATCTATTTGGAGAAGAAGAAGAAACCAAGCGATAACAATATGTTTTCCTTCGGTAAACATGATTACCTACCTCAGATACGGCCATGCCGCAATCTAGCACTACGGAGTTTGCTGCTATGGGTGGGGTAACACGTTCGCATACTATCGGAATGATGTCCTCTCTCAGCCTTTCCAGAAGTGAGTAGTTAGCCACGGTACCCAGTGTGTCAGGTGATGTGGCGATCTCTACCAACTCAGTCATGTCATAATTTGATCCGACGCCGATGGCTACCATTATGATCCCCTCCTGCTTTGCCCTTCGAGCTGCTTCTGTGACATTGTCCCCCGAATGTCCGTCTGTCACCACTATTACTACCTTTGGTACGCCCTGACGAGCACCGTGACTTTCAGTCAGACTCGTGTTGACCACGTAGTTTATCGCCAAACCTGTAAGGGTACCTCCACCTCTGTATGGTCTGTGGTCAATGGCAGACAAAAGGTCTTCCAGAGTTGCATATCGATTCAGAGAAAATTCCTCGATAGGATGATTATGGTATTGAACCACGCCGACTTGAGCATTCGCTGGACCGATTTGAAAATCACTGGTTGTGGACTTCACGAAGGCCTTGGTTATTTGAAAGTTGGACAATTCGATACTTCCCGAACCGTCCAACAGGAACACAAGGTCAACCGGCATTCTGCACACCACCGCTGTGAAATAAACGGGGAAGTAGTCAATATATAGTACATGTAACGTTATAGGGGTGCAGAATTATAACTTGTTGTACCTACCAACTTCATCCATTGCAGCTTGAAGTTGGTAGGTACAACCAGACTCCCCCAAATTACAGAATTTGTACTCTCTGTAACGATAACTGTGTAGAAGATGAAGCAAAAGTTGTTTTTATAAATAGATAGATTGCTCTCTATGCGCAAATCACTTGATATTAGTTCGTTACAATTAGAACAGAAATATACACACCGAAAAGAGAATTGTTCAAACATATTATGACATCCAGGAACTACGACGTATATGAAAAACTATGTAAATTTGTTCATGCTTGTTTCAAAAAAGCCTCAGAGAACAGATTTAGATATATAGACGTAGCACAGTAACGTAGTATTTGTTCCTCCTACCCTTATACCAGTACCTCAGTTATCTAACGTAGTGCATTTGGCCCATGTAGGACGTGAACATGCAATGAAGTTCATTATAACTCTTCAATGAAAAGAGGAAAATACCAAAACATATACGAGTTGTAATGTCTATGCTAAATGTAATGATTATGTACTTTGTATTTCAAATACTTATTAGGCTTGTTAATTTGGTATTACGACAGATTTCTGTCATTGCTGATAGTTAAAAACCTAACTGCGAAAAAGTTGTACACTTTTAATTAATTCTTACCCACGCATTTACTCCCATTAACAAGGTTATATCCATCCTCACAGCTGCAGCGGTACGAACCCAGGGTGTTGGTGCAGTAGTGGTCACAGTTACCGTTTCCAGACTGGCATTCATCAATATCTGTGATGAGAAAAGTGTGGGGTGTGGTGAACATATATTTCTTCTCCTTCTATTGGCCATTTTTTAATGGATTGAATTTCTTCATTTTGGGGCAAAATGATCTGAAATTTGGTATGGTGGTACAGTGGGCAAATACCCCCAGGTATTTTCTCTTTTTTTTGGTACTTTTTTTATACAGGCTTTTAGAATGGTTTTATTTGGGCTTTTTGGTTGAGTGATAGGAAATATACCATAGCAGGGTGTGTTACCATATTAGGAGTGTGGCCATATTTGGGCATGGGGAGAGAAGCTCCATGCCCAAATATGGGCATGCAGACAGGAACAGGTGCGGCCCTGTTTGCAGATGTGGTTGCTGATTGGCTGTTCACTTAATTACTTTATATGCTAAAAGAAAATCTGCACATACTTATAATAGGAACAAGGTAAAATGAGTGCTTTGGGTTGTAAACATGACGAATATAGCCCAAATAGCCTAAAAGTTCCAAAATGCCTCTTTTTTTTAAAATTTGTGTATGCCAAATAGATCTGTGTGGTCCAAGGTTGTTAGTTTTAATACCAGGCCATCTATACCTATGGTATGGAGTGTGATATGAAAACAATATGTTTCAGCCATAACTATGGTATGGAGTGAGACTTTGGAAGCAGCTCTTAGTACTCGAAATAGTACTGCTAAAAATGCTTGTGCGAGTCATACTCACATTCACAGTGAGAACCATTGCCCTGGTAGCCACTGTTGCAGTGACATCCTTGGATTCCATTCTGGATCCCACAGAAAGCGTGTTGACCACACCTGACCTCCGTGCACTGGATGTCGTTCTTACCGATGCACCGGCAGTGGCGGTTACATCCCTCCCCCCATGTTTCTCCGACCTTTGGGAAAAGGTACAAGAACTAAGTAACAACGAACTAGATTGACACTTATGCATGGATTGACTTGTGAACTTCAGAATGGCCACGCTTTGTTTTAGGCCACACCAAGTAATTTTCATGGATGACGTCCGCGTGCGCATTGATTTCGGCCTGTTCCCAGAAAAAAAAACAAGAAATTCCGCTTCCTGTAACTGTGACCAAAGAGTCACGACAGTGCCACAAATCGCAAGATTGGAAGATGTATGGAAGGAAAGAGACAGGACAGGACGACAACTGCTGTACCACTGATTTATTGCTGTTTTCATGACAAAGAAAAGACTTGCTGGTTGTTACACTATGCTCTCATTCATTCCTAACATTTGTCGTATCTTGGTATATTTCAAATTTAGACATCTTTTTTTTCGGCCCTTATTGTTTTTTTTGCGCTTTCGCTTTAGATTTTGGGTCTCCAGAGGACGTCTAACATAAAAATTACTTGGTGTGTCCTTACCATGAAGTCGTGTACGTACCGCATAGTAATATCCACCGCGAGTGCAGCCACACTGTTGCCTGGCCACACAGTCCCGTCCGCTCAGGACGTATCCGACATCACACTCGCACCCCTCCACACACGGGCGGTCACAGTACTGAGGTGCAGACACGTCTGTACAGGTGGCAGGACAGGCGCTGGCACAGGAGCTGTAGTGACTGTTTCCGGGACAGGAGAGTGCTGGGAGAAAATTTCACACATGTGAAGTTACAGTACTGTGGTGCAGACACGTCTGTACAGGTGGCAGGACAGGCGCTGGCACAGGAGCTGTAGTGACTGTTTCCGGGACAGGAGAGTGCTGGGAGAAAATTTCAGGTTAAACGACTGGGAATGCAACCAAACGTTAACAGGCTGTGTCTATGATAGAATATTAAGGTCTAATAAAACTTATGTTGCCCGTGGGAACAACCCTGACGTCAAAATGACGTCATGCATATTCAAGCTATCCGCCATCTTGAATGAATTTTTGAAATTACAGTTTTTCCAGATGAAGCCTACAAACAGAATGAAAATGGACTTAAGATGTTCATATGAACGTTTTATGTGAAAATATATAAGTTATAATAAAAGTTTAGTGAAAAAACGTGGTTACACCAGAGCTAATGAAATGGTCTGCCATCTTGGATTTTCACCAATGTCGTCATCAAATTAGCATAAACTTTGAATAGTTGGAAATAGAAATTACACAGATTTGTATTGACCCCGATCTTTATCATTCATTTGTTCGTCTGTAAAATGGAGTTAGCTAGAGACAGTGTTTTCTGTGAAGGAAAAATGGATGAATCGTATTATACATGTACTCCAAAAGCCAAACTTACGACAGAAGGTTGCATTCCTCCATGTCCCGATGTTGATGCCAGCCTCAGCGCAGGAGTCTGCGTAGGCCTGCAGGTTGTTACACGGGGACGTGAGGTCTCCGTCCAGGGCACACATGTCATACATGCACGTCTCAACAGTACTCTGTAGGCAAAGCAAATTTCCGTCTGGTAAACGGTCGTCGTCTTTCGGAACGGTTTGGTTTGGTGTATTGGTTTATTAAGATGCCCTTCCAGCATCAGAAAAACATACATACATAAAACAGATATACACAAAAGGACAGATTACATACAATTACAAGTTAAAAATTAAGAATTGAGAATTGCGAAAACGGTCGTCGCCTAATTTCGATGCCATATCACCGACTGCTCGATGCCATTTCCGAGCGTATCATAACTTTTTTGTGTGTATCATAAAACATAATATATACTATAAAAAGCAATATTTGAATTACCTAGGTGAGGGAGGATCATAAAAAATTGTAAAGGTATTAGAAAAAGGAAAAAAAAGCTTAAGCACAAGCTCAGATTCGAATCCGGGGCAAAAATCTTAGCTCTAGTCTAAAACACTAGCCTATACCCTACTCTCTACGTCACGAAAAAATTATAGTGTGGGCGGACCGTGCTGATACGCTTAAAGCTATCTGTTCTTCGATATGGCATCGACCATTTCGAAAGGCGATCGACCATTTATGAGACGGAAATTAGCGTAGGGAAAAGGAAGGCATCAACATGATAACAGATGATATTCAGCACCAGGGACAGGTCTGTTCATAAATGTGTTGACAGCGTTCAGCACCAAGGACGGGGTTCTAAAATTTGTCATTTCCTTACAACAGATTCAAGAAGACACAGACGAGTACGGGATCATTCACTGTACCTCTGGATTGAGGGTTGAGTAGCAGGGTGCGAACACGCTGTTTGGGTCGTTCAGAGTTCCGCACAGTTCCGATGCAATCTGCTGGAGGGCGTCGCTGCACTGCGCGGGGGGTTCTGGGTTCTCGATACATCTACAAGATTCAACATATGTAAGTTACCGACATGTTCGCGGACAGGTTTCCGAAGTAAAATGTACAGAATAGCAGGGCAGTGCGTAGGAATTGCAAAGATAGTATTATAGTATTGTCACATCTGTCTGTATCTGTAGAGCCAGTATAAGGCCACAGCAAATAATTTTTATGGATGTCACAGTGCGCGCATTAGTTTTCGCCTGATTTTGGAAAAAAACACAATAAATTTTTGTTGCCTTCTG